AAAAAAAAAAAAAAAGTTCCAGAGGAGACACTGCTTTGGGAAAGCAAGTGTTCTCCTTACTTGCTGCAAGTAATAAATCCTTCCTCCTCTGGTGGGGAAAAAAAAAGTCCCAGAAATGCCTCAAATATAAACAGCAGTAACCCACTGGTGAACGACGTGTTTGTAACCTGGATTTGCTGGTTGGGTGTCTCATTTGACTGCCAACCTGACTTGCTCCTGTCAGAGCCTTCTCTCAAGAGAGTTCTGTCCCTGTGCTTAGAGTGGGAGCCTCTATCAACTCCCCAGCAGCCAGTGGGGACTGCACAGACTCAGCGCTGTCCTCCTCTCATTCTACATTTCCTCCTTGCTGGGTAAACAGTGGCCTTGGCCTCTAACTCCAGAAGCTGGACCGGCACACCACAAACTCCTCCCCCTGCCCGCTGGAAAAGCAGAGCTGGCACACACCCTCAGCCTTCCCTGGAGCCTGGATGGTGGAACCTTCAGCTTCCGTTGCAGGAGCCGACTGGCTGGGCCGCCCCTGGGCTCCCTCGGGTCCAGCTTCCGGTTGCCCCGGGGTGTTTTTTGGGTTGGAAGTGTTGCCTGATTGCTTGGCAGCCCCATTCTTTTTGTCTTGGTTCTTCATTGTGGTTTGCAATGTTAGGTTAGGAGCAGATCCTATAGAAACAAACACACTTGCTATTTTCCAGACTTTAAAATTCTTCGCAGCCTGGATCAGAAATCCCAACACCGGGCGCGCAAAGCTTCTTGAAACAAACCGGCAGGCCTTCCCTGGAGGGAGCCAGCGGTTCTCCCAGTTTCCGGTCCGTCACCGGCGCCTGGTGTGCCCAGTAGCGAGGGAGGAGCGGCCTCCTTTTTCCTGAAGCCACTTCCCGGCACAACACGGCCCCCTCACCACAGACCGCGCGCGGGATACGTTCAGGGCCCGGGACTGACGTGGCGGGACGCCGGATTGATTCCCGGTCCCTCCCCGCCCCCCACGCCCCACGTGCCGCTCCCCCCAAAACCCGCGCGCAGCCACCCACGCCTCGCGCGCCCTCCAGCCGCGCGCGCATGCGCACAGGCCTCAACCCTGCCCCCCGGCCCGAGTCCTAGCACGGAATCCGCGCGATTCCTCGCACCGGCCAGAAACGTCTGGGACCACAGACCCTCTGCTCGCTTTGTACCCCTGGCCGACGCTGTACGCACCTCACCGCCGACGCCCTGACGGCTTCGCCCGCTCTGCCCTCGTACCGGAAACCCTGGATAACTGCTGCCGGCAGAGCCTCCTGCTAGCGCCGCAGCCAATCAATAGCCGGCGCTCGCGCGAGGCTTGCTGGGAAAGATGAAGCAAAGGCGGCCTCCGAGGCGGGTGAGTTGGGAAGGCAGGGGAGGGAAAGGACTACGCTTCCCTCCATGCACCGGGGCTGACCCCAACTCCCAAGATGCAATAGGGTTTTAGTCCTCGGAGCCGCAGACCCAGGAGGTCCGAAAGGAGCCAGTCATTCTCCACAAATACTCACGTTAGCCTCGTTTCTGTCTCGAAGGAGCTATAATTCAGCTCCCAGAGCCTTGCGCCTGGCTGCTTTTTCCGGTACGCCTCCACCACCCCTTCCCTCCTGCTGTGAACATCTATGACTATCTAGGAACCCTGAGGACGAGGGAGAGAATACACTGGGCTGGGCATCAGACCTGTATTCCAGTCCCAACTTCACTAATTTTCTACGTGACGGTATTCTTTTCCCTCCCAGGGCTTCAATTTCCGTATGCAAATAGAAGGTTTTAATAGTAGTTTTTCTTTCTTTTTTTTTTTTCTTTTTTTTTTGCGGTACGCGGGCCCCTCACTGCTGCGGCCTCTCCCGTTGTGGAGCACAGGCTCTGGACGCGCAGGCTCAGCGGCCATGGCTCACGGGCCCAGCCGCTCCACGGCACGCGGGATCTTCCCGGACCGGGGCACGAACCCGCGTCCCCTGCATCGGCAGGCGGACTCTCAACCACTGCACCACCAGGGAAGCCCTAATAGTAGTTTTTTGAACAATATCTTTCCCGGTTCCTCGTAAATACTGTACTATTTGTTATTGCCAATTTACAGCTGTGGACTGTAAGACAAAGGTTAGGTAAGTTGTCCAAGGTCCCATCGCTATTGACTGATTAGAGCAGATTCAAAGCTAGGAAGTCTGGCATCCATCTTAACTACTGGACTACCCTGTCTCTTACTCAGAAGAAACCACCACCATAGGCTTTCCTTGAGGATGAATCAAAATAACTAGGGAAAGTAATTTATTTTTCCATCTTCATTACCCGCTTGAGCCCCTCTTTGGAAGGTGCTGAGGGGGCCCTGCAAGGGGGACTTTGGCCTCAGCAGATTCCTGAGCCTTTTCTGACTGGCCCACCCTCTACAAAGTCCCAATTGCACTGGGGCTAAAGGGAAAAAAAAAGCCAAGCTTTTCTCCAAGTGTAAGATCACAATTCTGTTTGTCTATAGATAATGGAATAAAACCCAGCAACCCATGTGCCTGGAATTTAATGCCTAAATGGTTTGTTTGGCTTCTGTTTCCAGCCAATCCTGCCCAATCCCTCTGCCTTTTTTGTTACATCTCTACTTTTACTATCTCCAGGATTTCCCAGGTTTTTGCAGGTGCTTTTCTACCTTCCAAAATGCCCCTCTTGGTGAAACAAAATCTTTTGAGGCCCACTGAGCTCAAAGTTCACTTCAGAACCTTTTCAGTACTCTGCACTCTGTCCTAGCTCCTTGGGTCTAGACAGAGTTCTATTACAGCATTAGTGATGAGGTGTTGAAATTATTTACTTACAACTCACTGAATGTTCAAGAACTGTTGGCTAAATACTCTAGTCCTAAAGCCTAGCAACAGTCTGGGGGCTGAGAAGGCAGAGAATGTTTTAAATTGTTTTGCAAATTGGGCATCTTTTTAGGGCTCTTAAGATGTTAAATATTTCCCCTAGTTGAAGAGACTTCAGCGCAGTGCTCTTTCCCACCCCTTAGGCAGTGTCTACCAGGTAACACTGAGAGGCAATATTGGTATAACAGTATAAAGGTGGAACTCAAGCTCAGAAAGCGTTGGAACTCAAGTCTCTCAAAACCAAGGCCCTCATTATTTCCAGAAAAGCATGTGGGAAATCTCTTGAGGAGGTAACATATGAATCAGGCCTTGATGGATTTCCATAGGAAGAGGGTGTTCTAGGCAGAGATAAAGAACATAATTTAACAAGGTACACATGGGGTGAGAGGTGGAGTGGTGCACCAGGAAGGGTCAATGGTGGTCTCCAGGGGCCAGCTGGGTAATGAGAAGGACAGGCAAGGAATAAGAAAATTTGATAGAAACATGGGTTAAAAAGTTACTTTCTTCTTTGCTGTAAGAGAAAATGGCAACATTAGCGCCTGCCAGAGTCAGGGAGCCCTCTGGGAGTGGTGGTTGGGAATGGTGGTGATGGTGACCGGTCATAGAGCTCTTGCAGATTGTTTTCATGCAGAAACTCAGGCCCAGGAGTGCCAGATATTTTTTAAATATAGACACATCTTTTAATATTGGCAACGAATTAAAACTTAAAACGTATTCTGTCGGCCAACCAAAACCCTCCTTTTTGGGTTGTATCAACTTTTTGGCTGCTAGTCTGTAATCGCAGCTTTAGGAATTGATCTAAACCAAAGTGAGGAGTTGGTGAACTACTTCGGGCTCAAAGGGCTGTGGAGTGGTGATGAAATGTGAAAATCTTACAGAAACTCTAGAAAATGCAAATTAAACCACAGTGAGAGACAGCTTCCATCAGTGGTTGCTGGGGGTTAGGCAGAAAGGAGGGATTCCCAAGGGGCATGTGGAAACTTCTAGAGGTGATGGACATGTTCACTCTCTTGACTGTGGTAATGATTTCATGGATGCAAATATGTCAACACTTAGCAAGTTGTTCATTTTAAATATGTGCCATTTACTGTACGTCAATTATATTTCAATAAAGCTGATTTCAAAAATTCTTTATAGCAGAAGCAGGCTGTAACAATTCTTAATTCCACTGTTAGGTCAAAAGTTTAAGCACCCTCACTTCATTGACTTCCAAAAAATCCAGTCAAGATCACTCCAAAGAACACGATTTAGAACTTTGCAACAGGTTTTTATTTTTGCTTTATATCTATTACAGTGTTTGAAACCTAAAGAAATACATTTTCTCTTCAAATTTGGATGTGTATATAAATATCATTTGTCTGGACTCAGCACACTCAATGCCATGGTTTCTTGGCCTGTATCTGCTCTGAAATCATCAAGCTTTGTCTCTACCCAGGGGCCCTGAGAACATGGAAAACAATAGCCAGAGTTTATAGTTCTTAAAAGCAAATAAATTTGGAAAGAAAAACTAGTAAGGGAAAAGGTTTGATTCACCTTCCTAGGGTCTATAGCTGGGAACCCAAGCTGTTTTTGAGGGACATCTGGTCTGTCTTGGGTAACTGGGACCTCATACCCCCTTTGCTTCTTTAGTGGTTCAATCAAAAGCAATTCCCACAAATCTGGCTAAAAGACCCAATACCCAACTCCAGGGCCTGAGGATTGTCGCCATGGCAGAGTTTTCTCTTCTCAAACCCAGAGGCCGAACATCTGACCTACACAGGGGAGCAGGGCTAGAGTTTAGCGGAGGGGTTCAGGAATGTGCTAATGTGGACATCAGCGGTCAGGCTGGCCCAGAAGTAGTGAGGTGCGCCCAAATGCACTGAAGACCTTTATGACACACTACACAAACCTTTCTCCTGGGATGTTCTGGGCCCCAAATTTAATGGTGCCTCTTCTAATTCACAGCCAGGTTTGATTCTGCATGTAGCCCAGGCCTGATGCAAAATGCCCTCTCAGAGGAAAACAGCTTTAATTAACAGACTTACTTGTTTTGTACTGACCTCAAAATTCTTCCCTTACCATGGTCTTCATCTGGGGGTGGGTCTAGGGACCAGCCAATGGGATGACTGAATCCTTTATGAAGGCCTTGGCCAAAGAGCAGCTATTGCCTACCACATGGATCCCCGCAGGGCCAAATTCTCAGCTTGTTGGCTTAACAAAAAAAATACAAAAGTTAAGACAGAAAAAACACTGGACAAGATTGGTCTAAAATGTGCAATCCTAAAACGGCTATGGAAAAAACCTACTCTGAGCAATTTCTCAGTCTCACATGCACTTATTTCTAGGATAGTCCTACCCGGAAGATGTTGCTACTGGTTGTGAGGCTTTCCTATGGTTCAGTGCACTGAGCCTTGCACCCTTCCCCAGCCTGCCAGGGAGGCAGACAGGCACACACAATCCTGAGGTCCCCAGCCAGCCTCTTCTCCCTATGGGTCCCAGTAGTGCCTGCAAGGACCTGGAGAATCTGGCTCCTTGCCTTCAATTGAGAATCCAGAAGCCAAGCCCACAAGATGAATCTACTGAGGAATATTCAAGATGATGGATACCAAGCTGAGCAAGTCTTGGGGAGAAGAGACATGGCCTGAACAAATAAGTGGAGGCCTTCAAAGAAGGGCATGTGGGAGGCGGAGGGAAGTACTGCTAGGCGCTCATCTCCTTCCCTCCATCTTGCTGGAAACGGGTAATTGCACAGTGTAGGGGGAGGGCAGGCAGACATGAGAAAATCGAAATCTAGTTCATCCTGCTAGAGTTTTCATATTAAACTGGTTTGGCTTAAGAGAAAATGAAGGTCAGTGCCTGAGAGCCTTCTTTCGCTCTTCCTTAAGTGTGGTAGCAGCTATAATCTGTGCAGTTCAGCTCTAAATAGGGCTCTTGGAAAGAGGCTTCCAGGGAAAATAAAACAGGAGTAGATCTAAAGGTTCTAGGTAAGGAGGAACACAAAGGGTCCCTGAAAGCTGAAGTCATCAACACCTGTTACTTGGAAGAGTCTTTTGTACCCACTGCCTCAAGTAACTAGGCTGGCCAGGTGAGGGTGGAACCTATGTGGTTCTAACAGAAGGTTGTAGCCAATACCATGGCCAGTCAGCCAGCGGGGATAGCTCAGAACTGAAGGCAGTCTTCTAAGACCAGAGAGCCTGTTAATACTAGAGAAGATGACATGGGGGTGGGATGCCCAGAAGGGCTGGCAATAAATAATAGCTGGCACTGTTCAAAACAGTATTTGAACGCTTTAGCTAAGAAAAAGGCTCCTTGTCCCCTTAATCCACACCTAAGTATCTCCAACCCACCAGAGAGCTTAAAATGGACATAGCTATGTGCCAAAGTATTAAGATTCCAAACACAAGTCTTCTCAGGCTACTCCCTACAGCAGGTTGGGGAGCCCCTCCATCCCTGTAACATCCATTCAGAAATCTGTCAGAAAGCTCTGACTTCACCTAGGCCAGGGTCTGGAGTCCAGATGGGGACTGCCCACGAAGAGTGGCTGTCAAGCCTGGGCTAAAAAGAAATATTTTGCTTCCCAAGATGGCCAAAGGAGAGGAGGAGACACAAAAGATGATGTTACTGCCTCTGTGGGCTGGAAGAACTTCACCTGTTGACTGAAAAGGGGGTCAGAGGAATACAGTGGGAAAGCACGGTCTGAGGAAGACACTAACAAAGGAAAGCTCCTAGAGGCCATGTTTATCTGAAGAGAAATTTGTCCTCGTGCCCTGGGAGACTTCAGCCTTTGGAGTCCTTGTAGAAAACAGGCTTCGAGTAGTAACCCATGATCAACAGAGTCTTCTCTTTGGTGCATGGCCCAGATCTGAAGCAAAAGTAGATTTGGGAGGAACAGCTGGGGAAGGCAGGACGTGTATGTCTCACAATAAGAATTTGGTCCCAATGTCAGGGACTTAATTATTGCTAGAGATGTACAAAGTAGATCTTACTAAAATAAAATGCTCTGCCCTTTGGACAAGGACAAGGGGTGGGGGGTGGCTCTCTTTTGAACTGTAGGAAAATGGTTTTGTAATAGAGTCGGCAGGCCAAGTGAAGAGGGTCCTGCGCCTTGCCTACCTGGGAGAGTGGGGTTGGTAGTTATCATGCCCAACCTGCAGAGCAGCATCTGACTCACTTAGGCGGTACAGCACTGGTGTCACTTTTCAGTGACAGCCACCAGCCACAACCACTTTTCTCAGAAAATGCCTCTGGAGTTGGATCTCAACACTGGAAAGAGAGGGCAAATTCAAGACCAGTGGCCAAAAACAACTGAATGTTTTATCTGTAAGCAGAGTGGCATGGATTTCACCTGAGCCAGAGGGGGATGTGTAGCAATGGGAGCAAGAATGGCATTGTTCCTGGGGAAGGGAAAATACAGTTTGGAGCAGGGCACCTCTGCCCGACCTCTGTGGGGAAGCAGGGACAGGGCAGATTGTGCCTTCAGCTCCACCACTGGCCTACACTTAGCCAACAACTTCCTCCACCCCACCCCCAACACCTGGGCTTTACTATCACATGTAATCCATTGAAGCACACAGGCAAGCCACTGAGGCACTGCAGCAGCTCTACTCAAAGGGGACAGAAAAGGCATTAGGATTGTATTTGTCACAGGAAGGGTAAAATCCAAACCATGTACAAGGATCCCAATCAGGGAAGACATCAATCACTCTCAAAAAAAGTCCTGAGGCTGCTAAATTTCTCGGATAGGAGACACGGCAGCCATCTGTGATAACTTATGTGGACAAAGGTGTTTGAGACTGAATCTGAGGAGGCAGACTGCTTTCTGGGTTTCCTGATGTAAGCAGGATGCTCAGTGGTAAGGACTAGAGTGGTAGACTTCACCAGGCCCTGGGGCCATCCTTGCTCCCTCCATTCAGGTACTAGGACAATCAGACCAGGCTGCCCTGCTGTATAAAGGTTCCAGAGCTAAGGGGTGGTCCCTGGTGGTGGCCCGGAACCCAAGCAGAGAGGAGAAGGATCAAGGTCAGGCTTCCTGAGCAAAAGAGCTTCCACATCTCTTTTTGGTCTTCCTCACAGTATCCTACTTACAGAAATTACAGAGACAGTTCTTCCTCTTGAGACCAATTAAGGTTGACCTACGTAATATATAGAATATAAAAAAATACAGAACTTTTTGACATTCTCTCCTCTGGAAGTAAAATATACATGATCCAACTACAGAAGAGGAAGAAGAAGAAAGGCCAAAGGCAGGGATCCACTGGCTATCCCAATACATGACACTCTCACTCCAACCTCCTCTGCAATTTATGGGTCACCAGAGCAAGGACTTTCTCCTCAGGAGAAAGGAAGGACCAGGCCCTCTGTCACGTGCTTAGGAGAAAATACAGCTACCTCAGAGGTTCATCTCAACTCTGAGGGGAATTTTCAAGTAAACAAATGAAGTTGGGTCGCACCATTGGAAGGTGGGTAGGAAACATGGGATCAGTAGCGACACATGGGAAGCCCCGTCTGAAGGCCCTGTGTTCCTCTCTCCCGACTCCCACTGGTGTACATGCCCCAGGAGAGTGAAGGGGATCTCCCAAACTAAAGAGGTCTGGGCAAGGGGTTAAAGGGAGGGAGGGGCCTTTGTCTCATGGTGACCTCCCCCTCAGCCTCTAGTCCCAGACAATGCTGGCAGCTGGGATTCCTAAAACCAGGAACTCATGGCTCTGGGAAAGAGCAATTGTAATACAAGAAAAATGTGCAAAAGAAAAAAAAATTAAATAACGCAATCCAAGCATACAAGATTAATATTCTGTCCGAGCAAGAACACTTTGTTTTGGATTTCTCCCCTCCCCTCCCCTCCCACCCCCGACCTGTGGAATATTCCATCTGCTCAAGTACCCAAGATAAGAGTTACAGAGATCAGGGCAGAGGACTGGGAAGGATGAAGGAAGATAAAACGGAAGGAAGTCACCACTAAAGAAAAAAAAATAAAAAAGGTGCAAAATTGATTACCTCAGTCCTCCTTTGTCTACCCCTGGGCTCCTGGGTTAAAGACACATGTGCAGCCAAAATCTAGTGTAAGGAAGAAAAACCCAACACGTCCCCTTCTTGTCACAAAACCCAAATGTGAGCCTCAGATGGTTCTGTCTGTCCAGAGGGTGTTCCCTCCAGGGAAGGGGGCGGAGCAGGTCAAGAGCACAGTTTCCAGGGCAGCAGAGGTGTGTGGTGGCTGATGGTGGGGGGGGGCTGGTTTCCCGCCCACCAGAGGTCTGCCTTTCCGCTGGTTGGTGGTGCTTCCCATCCCCTCCCCTCCCCGGAGGCAGACATTATAGCTGGAAGCCCTCCATGGGGGCCTCAGGCTGCTGGAAGATAAACTGCTGTTGCGTTTCATCCACTTGGGGAGCCAGGCTGCTATCATCATCTTCTACGCCAAAGTAGTGCTCAATGAGGTCAAAGGCCTTCTGGTAGATCTCCTGGTTCTCATGGCTCTGGAGAAACTCAATTTTATCCAAGCCTATGGTGGCAAGAAGAAAGGAAGAAGAAGAGTAAACTTTGAGTGCTTTTCTATGGGTCCATGACACAATCTATTTTTTCCTTCCCTGAGTTATGTTAGCATTTATAAACACACGTAATATGATCAGATCTCTCTTTGATCTGAAAGAGGAGAGCTGAGATCTTTACCTAAAATGACATAAAACCAAAGGAAAAAGACCAAAATGTCAGTTATAAACCAGAGAGTCTAGTCCCGATTCTGCTTTTAACCTGGGCAAACCATTACTGTTCTGAATCTCTTGGAGATGAGCGATGAGTCAATCCAGCACTAACAGACCTTGCTAAGGAAACCATAAACAAAACGAAAAGACAACCTGCAAAATGGGAGAAAATATTTGCAACCGATGCGACTGATGAGGGCTTAATTTCCAAAATATACAAACAGCTTGTATAGGTCAATAACAAAAAAACGAACAACCCAATTAAAAAATGGGCAGAAGGGACTTCTCTGGTGGTCCAGTGGGTAAGATTCCGTGCTCCCAATGCAGGGGGCCCGGTTTTGACCCCTGGTCAGAGAACTAGTTCCTGCACGCATGCCACAACTAAGAGTCTGCATGCTGCAACTAAAGATCCCGCATGCTGCAACTAAGACCCGGCGCAGCCAAAAACAAATAAATAAATAAATATTTTTTAAAAAAATGTGTGTTGTAGGTGTACAGAATCTTAAAAAAAAAGGGCAGAAAACTAAATAGACATTTCTCTAAAGAAGACATACAGATGGCCAACAGGCACATGAAAAGATGCTCAACATCACTAATTATTAGAGAAATGCAAATCAAAACTACAATGAGGTATCACCATATACCAGTCAGAATGGCCATCATCAAAAAGTCTACAAGGGAATTCCCTGGTGGTCCAGTGGTTAGGACTCAGTGTTTTCACTACCGGGGCCCTGGTTTCGATCCCTGGTCAGGGAACTAAGATCCTGCAAGCCATGCGGTGCAGCCAAAAAAAATTAAAAAGTCTACAAATCATAAATGCTGGAGAGGGTGTGGAGAAAAGGGAACCCTCCTACGCTGTTGGTAGGAATGTAAACTGGGGCAGCCACTATGGAGGTTTCTTAAAAAACTAAAAATAGAGCTACCATATGATCCAGCGATCCTACTCCTGGGCATATATCTGGAAAAAACTGTAATTCGAAAAGATACATACACCCCAGTGTTCATAGCAGCACTATTTACAATAGCCAAGACACGGAAGCAACTGGAGTATCCATCAACAGATGAATGGATAAAGATGTGGTGCATATATATAATGGAATATTACTCAGCCATAGTAAGAATAAAATAATGCCATTTGCAGCAACATGGATGGACCTAGACATTATCATACTAAGCGAAGTAAGTCAGACAGAGAAAAGACAAGTATCATATGATATCACTTATGTGGAATCTAAAAAATGATACAAATGAACTTATTTACAAAACAAAAAAAGACTCACAGACATAGAAAACAAACTTATGGTTACCAAAGGTGAAAGGGTGGGGAGGGATAAATTAGGAGTTTAGGATTAGCAGATCCAAACTACTATTAACAAAACAGATAAACAACAAGGACCTCCTGTATGGCACAGGGAACTATATTTAATATCTTGTAATAAACTGTAATGGAAAAACAAAAAAAAAGAAAGAAAAGAACTTGCTGCTAGAAACTCAGCTGAAAACATGCCTTCCAGCTCCTGATTCTATTATCACTTCTGGAGCTTTATTTTTGCATCTGTACCATAACCTACTTACTAGGTAGAGCCTATCAGAAACAGAACTCATCTACTGCTCCTCAGAGGAAATGGAACTGGTGGGATAAAACCTTGCATTCAATGATGACCCCATCAAAACACATACCCTTACATATACGTATACTATTTCAGAGTTTCTCTCTACTTATGGCAGACGTGAGGTTGGGGAGAGGGCACCTACCATAGGCTTCCTCGATGAGGCCACAGTAGGGATTAACCCCTGAGCCACTGCGCTTGCCCTCTTGCTCTCCGAGCCGGAGGATGTTCTCCAGTCCATTGAGGGCGACTTGCACAATCTTTGAATCCATCACAGTCAGCAAGTCGCACAGGGGTTTGATGCAGCCCAGGGAGACCAGGTACCTGAGGGGCAGAGACCAGGTAAGTTCTAAATTAAGACAAGGCAAGGGAGGTGCCAGGCAGGTGCTATGGGGTCTCTAGGTCTCCCTCACACACATCGATGCTCTCAGCAATTCACTCTGACTGAGCTTTCATAACCACCCATCCTTTATCTCAAACTCATCACCCTCCCAATGCTACTGGTTTAGTTCATTTCCATGTAGAAGGCTGCCATGGATTCCTCCTCTTTGTCTGTAACGTCTCCTTGCTGCAGTATTACCTACTTTGAACACATCATTTCCCTGCCTAAAATTTCTGTAGTCCCAGCTCTACAGTCATAACAATACAATCTGGCTCCTAAACTTTTCTAGCTTCCCCTCTCATTATTCCCTTCCGAGAATATTACATTCCAGTCAAACAGTAAAGGCCTCCAGGTTTCTGATTTTTGTACCTTTACTTATGCTTTTTCCTGTCCAAAATGCCATTTACAACCCTGTATCCTCAAAAGCTTCACTCAGTGGCTATCCTTTTCTCCTAAGGTTTTATTTATACTGAATATATTCCCCTTCCTAAGCTACAAGCTGAAGGCAAGGCACTTCTCCAATTCCCACCACTCCTACTCAAGTTGATAATGGAAACCAAAATCAAAGAGCATCCTCGCACAAAACAGCTTTCCTATTTGCTTCTCCAAGTATCACTGCCAAAAATGATTTCCCAAAGAAGCTGCTCTGAATGAGCCATAGCATGGTTCTCTTTCATTTGTATGGATAATTGAGAATTACATAGATTTAAATTCTCTTGAGGGTAGAAAGAGGCAGAGGAGAGAGATGTCTGTGTCATAAGTTTCCATTCTCCAGGAGGGAAAAGAGGTACATGGTTTATAGGAATCTACTTCAGATTCCCATGCTACACTCTAGCAGCTTACCAGTTAAACCCTACCGGACAGGGGCAGACCTATCCCAGAAAAGGCAGTTTAGAGGTCACATGTAAACTGTGAGCCAAGAGGTAGAGTACACATATCACTCAAGACAATGGGAAAGGACTGTGATACCTGATTTGTTCAGGGGTTCCTCCTGATGTGGCATTGGTGATGGCCCAGGCTGCCTCTTTCCTTGTACGGAACTCTGCTTTCTGAAGGATTTCAATCAACACAGGGAAGATATTTGCATCTATGACAGCCTGAGAAGAATTGGGGGGTGGAGGGTGGGGTGTGGGGGAGGAAAGAAAGTCACTTCAAGAAGGATAAGCAAATCCAGACCCCAAATCAGCTAAAAGATTAAGACATCTTCCCCTTCCTGAAAGTTCTTTTCACATAGGTAAGACGCTACAGAGGAACCTGGCTTCTGTTACACAGAATCTTTGACTGATAGCATCCATTGACCCCAATTTCAAAAGGGAAATAAATTTTTTCTTCTAGAGGGCCATATCCCACAATGTCTCATGTCCCCAGGCCTTTCTATCTGCTGCCCTCCTCAACTTCCCTCCTGCTTCTTCTACCTGTATCTGAGCCCTGTTGCCAGCAGTGATATTTGAAATGGTCCAACAAGCTTCCTTTCGGATTGACTCCTTGGAGCTGCTCAGCAAGTGGAGGAGGCAAGGGAGGGCTGAACAATTAAGAATGACCTAGAACACCAAAAGCACAGGCAACAAAAGAAAAATTAGATAAACTGGACTTAATCAAAATTTAAAACTTTTGGGTACCAAAAGACACCATCAACATAGTGAATTACACAAATCACAGAATGGGAGAAAGTATATACATATCATATATCTGATAAGGATTAATATCCAGAATATACAAAAAAATTTTTTTAAATGCAGGTGGCCAATAGGCACATGAAAAGATGCCAAACATCACTAATCATTAGGGAAGTGCAAATCAAAACCTCAGTGAGATACAACTTCACGCTTATTAGAATAGTTATCCTTAAAAAATCCAGGCAATGCAAGTGTTGGTAAAGATGTGGAGAAATTGGAACCCGGTACACTGCTGGTGGGAATGTAAAATGGCGCAGCCATTGCACCGTTTTGTGTGCAAAACAGTATGGTGGTTCCTCAAAATCTTAAACATAAAATTACCATATGATCCAATAATTCCACCTCTGGATATACACCCAGAAGAACTGAAAGCAGGGACTCAAACAGATACTTGTATGCCAATACTCAATGCAGCATTATTTATACTAGCCAAAAGGTGGAAGCAACCCAAGTGTCTACCAATAGATGAGTAAATAAACCAAATGTAGCATATGCACACTTGGAATATTATCCAGCCACAGAAAGGAATGAAGGTGTGACATGCTAAAATATGGATGAACCTTGAAAACATTATGCTAAGTGAAATAAGCTGAAACAAAAGGACAAATATATATGGTTTGGCTTATATGAGGTACCTAGAGTAGTCAAACTCCTGAGACAGAAAGTAGTATGGTGGTTACCAAAGGATGAGGGGAGGGGGAAATAGGAAGTTATTATTTAAAGGGTACAGAGTTTCAGTTTGGAATAATGCAAAAGTGGTGGAGATGGATGGCGGTGATTGTTGAATAACAATGTGAATGTACTTAATGCCAGTGAACTATACTTAAAAATCGTAAAAACAGAAAAAGTTATGAATATCTGTACACACAGGCACATGCGTGCACACACAAACACAAAAGAATGACCTAGAAAATGAGTGTGGGCTTGAGTGAGACTGCTCACCTGTAAGAAATTTGTTAAGAATCCCACAGAATTATGCAAACTACAAGACGCAAAGAATACTCAGATCTCTAGCCTTTGAACAGAGAAACACTGTATATACTGTGCTCTCAATGGAAGTGTTACTAACAGGAGAGTAACATGAGACAGGGGATTCTAAAGGTCTAGGAAGTAGGGGTGAGGTTCCATAGCTTTTAGTATTTCAAAGGTACCGTAACTCAAAATCTGTTAACAATTACTTTACAATGTCCCAGGTAGTGAGTCAGGTTATTCCACTTAGTTTTTCTTCAATAGCACCCAATGGATGATGACTTGCTTCCAATTTATAGAAAAAAGTGAAGGCAACCACGTTGCCCCCAAATAATATAGAAAGTGGCAGAGCTGGAATTTTTCACTCAAGCCTATGCTTTCTCTCCTAGATCATGCTGCTTCCTACCAGGACCAAAGGCTGTGGCAGGGAAGGATTCTGTCCATAGACAGCTCTCCTCCTCCTCCTTACCTGGGTCTGGATGTCATCCCCGGTGACGATGTTACCCACAGCTCTCAGAGCAGGAGAAGCCACTTTGTTATCGTTGTGCCTACAGAGGAGGGCGATCTGATCAGTAGAGGGCCAGCACATGGCATTCAACTCGGCTGACCACCAAGGCCAGCAGCACTCATGGCTCCAGACCTTTGGATAGGGCAGCAGACTGCTGACTACAGTTCTGAGCTTGGAGAAGCTTAGGGAATCTGAACCCTTTCTGAGATCACTCACATTAGAAGCTCGACCAATCTCCGGCAGACTCCAGAGTCTATGACTGCCTGGATCTTCTCGTTGGGGCCATCAGACAGATAAGAAAGGGCCCAGCAAGCATCTGCCAGCAAGTCTGAGTCGCTGCTGAAGAGTAGGCGAGACAGCACAGGCAAACAGGGGGAGACCTGTTGGAAGCAGAGAGAGAGGGACTCAGGCGGACACGGTTACATCATCTCTACCACTAACCCTAACATCGCTGAGCCCTCCTCTACTTAGTACGTCTAAGACCTGGAGATTTCTACTACATTAAACCATCAGGGCCCACATTTTCACTTTACCATCCAGGCATATGAAATCACCTACTTCACTGACGACTGCCTTTTTCAGTTTCCCAAGGATGAGACTCTGAGGTTTCCCCAAAGACTTGAAAACTCCCATATCAAAATTCCTCCATATGAAGGAACCTACTTTCACTCAGGAATTGGTAAGAAGCTCTCTTGGGACTTCCCTGGTGGTGCAGTGGATAAGACTCCGTGCTCCCAATGCAGGGGGCCCAGGTTCAATCCCTGGTCAAGGCATTACATCCCACATGCATGCCACAACTAAGGAGCCCACCTGCCGCAACTAAGACCCAGTGCAACCAGATAAATAAATACATAAATATTAAAAAAAAAAAAAAAAAAAAAGAGAAGCTCTCTTACCTTTGCAAACTCTGGGGGTGGGTTCTTGCCTCGGCACAGGTTTGACAGGGCCCAGACTGCATTCCGTGTCATTGTCAGTCGTGTGGACTTGGTAAGTAGCCTGAAGGGGACAGCAAAGCCAGATCCTGAGCAATGATGCTCTTTGCATAGAGCTGTTGCCTATGAACCCCAGGAGCAAATCCAATCAGACCCCTAAGACTCTAGAAGCCTGCTTCTTCCTACCCATAGATTTAAGTTAAGTGAGCCTGTTTGGCCCAGGAGGCCGACCTACATCTTCACAGAGGATTAGGACCAGCTGTGGCTTATTAAGACCATAGCTAATAAGGACAAACAGAGGGCTGGACTGTGAGTAAGCATGCTAAACGTATAAGATAGGACATACTGTGCCCCTAACTGTGGCCACAAGTTCTAAACAAGAGTATTGTTGTCTTTGGAAATAAAAGCTGAACGTTTAGTGTGAGGGCTTTAGCCATGCACTGTGGAATGATTTTCTGTGACAGGCCCAAGAAGGAGTTATAATAGTAGCCTATGAGATTGTGGCCTCTCAAGAAAAGCTCCTTCCTCTGTTTCGGTTTAGATGTAGCTCTATTATAAGGGTACAGAGGAAGGGATGGGAGCATCCAGATGACTCTGCAAGGGGTCTTAGATCTGTGGCTTACAACAGAGCTCTCCAATGTACTAGGCATAAACCCACAGCAAATCAATGCATTCTGTAGAGAAGGTTAGATTCTTCCAGATGGGCTAGTCCTTCCCCTCTCCTCTGGCTCAACAATGAGACAGGTATTACCAACATGAGATTCTACAGTGCTACAAAGTAAGGAAGCACAAGACACAGACCAGTGACACAATCTTCTTACTCTCAAAAGATACTATATTTTACTCTGGCAATGAGAATGCACTTTTATCATTTTTGTATTCACTCATCGTCTTAAGGTAAACTGCTCCCCAAACATCTGCCACATGGCTGCCGGAAAGATACCCCAGGTGCAGATGATAATAATTACTCACGTTAGCAAAGGATTAAGGATGGAACAGTTCAAGACGTAATCTCGGCAGACGGAGCTGTCTCCAGCTATGTTTCCCAGTGCCCAGACTGCCTAAAAAAGGGATGATGGAACTGTCACCCACAGAGCCTAGTGGCTTCTGTGAGTACTTTATACTCACAACTACAGAGTGACACCCACTAGTAACCAGAACAAACATCCCATCAAGACCTTAAACACACTAAATAAGCTCAGGTACTCTCCTTGTTAAAATTGAGCACTTGCTCTATTTTAACTGAGAGTTCCTGGTTCATTGGGGGAAGCAGGCTGACTCTGTACTGCAGTCAGAGAAACCAGATCAAGACTTCCTTATCCCCACCCCCCAGAAGAGGAGAAAATGATGGGAAAGTTGCATTCTTGTAGCCTCATAGGACCAACCCTATATGTAGTAATATAGGAAAAAACCCTAGTACCACTCTCCACTTCTATCCAACCAGTGCAAGAAATGGAAGTTGGGTTTTTATGATCTGTAGGTGCTGAGAAATGGGTATTGTGGTGTCTTTTTTCCAGCACCACCTCTGATGCCCAATGTGTGGAGTTTTTTCTACACCAACAACCAATTCTCTGATACCAACTGTGTCAATTCAGTTAAATTCTGACACTAACTCGGAGTTAGGGCAGATCCCACAGGCTAGGGGCTCAGTCCCACAAGACTGCCCTCAATTTAGATACTAGCTGCAATTCCCAGGTGCTACCCATACTTCTCACCAACTGGCTATAAATTCAGGAGTTCCACAATCTCCTCCTCAGGTTCAATAATTCACTAGAATGATTCACAGAACTCAGGAAAACACTTTACTTACGTTTACCAGTTCACTGTAATAGATACAACTCAGGAAGAGCGAAATGGAAGAGATGCACAGGCCAAGGTATGGGTTGAGGAGTGGGATTGCACAGAACTTCCAAGCCCTCTCCAGGCACGTCACCTTCCCAGCACACTGAGTGTTCACCAACCCAGAAGCTCTCTGAATCTCAATGTTCAAGCCTTTTTATAACCCAATCTCTAGCTCCTCTAACCTCCCTGGGGAGGGTGGGGTGGAGGGGTGGGAAGAGTGGGGGTGGGGTGGGGCTGAGAGTCCCTATCCTCTAATCCTAAATTTGGTCTTTCTGATGACTAGACCTCCCTTCCTGAAGCTATCTAGGGCCCCACCCGGAGTCACTGCATTAGCACCGACTCAGGTGTGTCCCAAAGGGGCTCTTTAGGAATAACAAAAGACACTTCTATCACTAAGAAAATCCCAATGTTTTTAGGAGCTCTTTGCTCTTAACCTCTTAAGTGGGGATAAAGACAAAATATACTTTTTATTATACCACTAGTACCATCAAGAATTAAGTCAGGGCTTCCCTGGTGGCGCAGTGGTTGAGAGTCCGCCTGCCGATGCAGGGGACACAGGTTCGTGCCCTGGTCCGGGAGGATCCCACATGCCGCGGAGCGGCTGGGCCTGTGAGCCATGGCCGCTGGGCCTGCGTGTCCGGAGCCTGTGCTCCGCAACGGGAGAGGCCACAACAGTGAGAGGCCCGTGTACCGCAAAAAACAAAAAGAATTAAGTCAAATTTGGGCATTACCTGTTCCTGTACATCCTCAAAGTCCGAGTTAAGCAGCTCTATAAAAATGGGGACAGCCCCTGCTTCAATGACAATTTTGGTCTGCTGAGAGGTTCCAGAGGCAATGTTCGTTAGAGCCCAGGCAGCTTCAAACTGAAAGTGAGATTAAAGCCATGAGTGAGACGTCATTCCAGATGAGAAGCCGTGCCTACTAGCTGGCTCAGCAATAAGCCTCCTGCCCCTGACTTAAAAACAAAAACAAAAAACCACACAAGCCTTTCCCTCTCCATCTTTAAATGATAGGAAGAGGTACCGGCAGTGATATAACATAATGGGAAGACAGAATTGGGCTTCCATGGTCCCAAGTCTAGTCCTGAACTACCACAGCACCCATGAGTCCTTTGGCAAGTCACGTTTTTATTTCCTGAGCTTCACTTTATTCATCTCTGAAACCAGGATAAGAGTGAGACGGGTCTCTAAAAGTCCCTTTCAGCCAAGTTTCTAATAAGTTCCAATGGATTGACTCATTACTCATTTGTGAGAAGAGAGACCCAGAGAAGCTAAATGGTTCACCTCAGGGTTAGGAGTGGACTAGAACCTCTAGGGTTGGGCAGAAAGTTTGTTCAGGTTTTTCTGTAACATCTTACGGAAAAACCCGAATGAACTTTTTGGCTAACCCAATATATTTATAATTTATAATATAACCTCTGAACAATCAGTCTGTCATATTCTGGTATCCTTCCTTTCAGATTGTTTTAGGGAAGAGTTTGTGGGTCTCTTATTTGATTGAGGTCAAGACCTCTGAGGTAACAGCATCTCTTAAATGTTCCCTCAATATCTTGTCTATATCCTAAGAGATGTGTCTGTAGAAACATGCCACTACAATTTCTTGGCAAAAGGGCTTTCAACTGGTAACTCGCCACCCCAGGCCTCACCTGTAATGTACAATTCTCATTCCTCTTCAGAAACTCCACAAACCGATCCACCACTCCTGGAGTATTGATAACTTCATCTATTGGAGGACTAGGCTCTGGAAGAGGGAGAGGAAAAGTCAGGAGAGGCTTTGGCTAATGCTTTCATGGGGGTAAGTCCACCATCCTTCCTAGATACTCCTGACCATCCTTCTAAACATTCCCAAACTCCCTTTTGGTGAGGTAGTTTGAACAATAGCTGGTCATGGGGCTTCCCTGGTGGTGCAGTGGTTGAGAATCCGCCTGCCAATGCAGGGGACGCGGGTTCGATCCCTGGTCCAGGAAGATCCCACATGCCGTGGAGCAACTAAGCCCATGTGCCACAACTACTGAGCCCACGTGCCGCAACTACTGAAGCCTGTGCACCTAGAGCCTGTGCTCCACAACGAGAGAAGCCACCGCAATGAGAAGCCTGCACACTGCAATGAAGAGTAGCCCCCGCTCACCGCAACTAGAGAAAGCCCGCATGCAACAACGAAGACCCAACACAGCCAAAAATAAATTAATAAATAAACTTATATATATATATATAAACAATAGCTGGTCATTTTTGAACTGTATAAAATAGCTGAGATGCCAAAGAGTAAAGCCAATCCTAATTTAAATATGTTCACCTTTGGCTTCCTAAACCTAAGCAAGTAACTAACCTTACTTACCTAAGCAAGTAAAGAATTAAGGGAGAGAAGACCAAGGGAGGAGCAACCCTAGTCTAAATGCTTCCCTTCCAAGACCAGCATTCTTTTCTTGGGAGGAAGAAAAGTCAGGGAATATTTTTCCCATCATACATCAAATTTTTACTGAGCACAAACTATGTGCCAGACATGGTTCTGGGTACCGAGGATACAGTAGTGAACAAAACCAAAAGTCTATGCCCTCGTAGAGCTTATATCCTCGTGATGAGAAATAATCCTGTTATGTTAGAAGGCAGTAAGTGTAATAGGAAAAAAAAAGAATAGGTAGGGCAGGGTAAGGAGACTGAAAATGCTGCAGGGGTCGGGGGAGCTGCAATTTCTGATAGCGTGTCAGGGTAGGCTTTACTGAGAAAGTAGGATCTGATCATAGAAATGTAGCAACTGTCACACAGTTATCTGCAAGTAAAGGATATCAGGCAGGGGAAATAGTGCAAAGGTAAGAATGTGCCTGGCTTGTCCAAGGACACCAAAGCCAGTAAGGCTACAGCAGAATGAGTGAAAGGGAATAGTTGATGAGGTCAGTGAGAAGAAACAGACGCTAAAGCCATGCAGGGCCCCCTGCGGAAGACTAGGCTTTGTACCTTTGGAGAGCAGTTTCCGGAATTTCTGTGTGGTTGCTAACTGCAGGTCAGAATCGTCAGAAAAGAGCATCTCCACCATCTCTCTTGTGATCACGCTCTCCTAGAACATAAAACAGGTTCACGACTTTGCAAACCAATACTAGAGCCAGATATGAGCCCATAATCCTGTTTGGAATCCTGCTTTCTAAAGACTTGAGGGCAAGAGGAAGGGGTAACAGCAGGCTCAGAAGGTGTTTAATCCACAGCTGCTTCAAGTTGCAACATTTGGAAGTGATTCTTAACCTCTGAGGCAATTGATAGCTTCCCTTAAATGTTTCCTCTGGTGTTTCCATCAGAGATGAATCCTTACTGACTCCTTAAGTTGACCAGCTACAAAACGGCCCATGGAATAAAGAGCTTAGCATGGTTGTTGGTAAAGCTAACTAGATGACGTGAACTGACCAATTTCTGTTGTGTAGAAGCAGGTACTTCCCAAGCTTGCCTGGGAAGCTTGCAAGGGTCTTACCCCAGTGGTAGAGCTCACATAGGAGTCCATGAGGAGACTATCGAACATGGCGGCTTCTTCATTAATCAGCTCCACATTTCTCCGCTTAAAAAGCTGAAAATAAAGAGAAGAGACGACGGTAAGACTTCTAACCGAAACAAAGAAAACAAAGTATGACCCAATGTTAAATTATGGCATAACTGTCAAGGAATGCTACTGTATGAGAAAATGCCAAGCTTAATATACTGATATGGAAAGATATTCAAAGACTTTACTTTCTATGTTATAGACTGTTTACATTTTTATAAGCAAAAAGAATCTTTTAAAATTCCTGTGCCCTTTGTATAAAAGGTGATGCATATAAAAGGCTGTGAAGGAAAGAAATAATGGTAAAGCAAAAGGGTGGGCAAAAGCAGGTTAGCATCTAGACCTGGGCAAGGAACCAATTTGGTGGTGGCGTGTGGTACATGGTGCGTGGCAGAGTGTAGACAATGAGGCATTAATACAATCTCAGTTCTAGGGAGACTTACAAAGAATGGACTCAAGAAAGAGAAGTAAGGCAGCCCAGATGGCTGACAAAATTCTTAAAGGGCCAGGCTTGGGGCTGGGCCTTGACGGCCAGATCTAACAGTGACTACTGGGTAAAAACAAGGGGTTAGCACTAGAATGTTATATTGAAGATATAAATGATGTCCAAGTTGTTCTAAATTATGGAAGAGGAATAAGGGACAGTTCTTTCTCAAAGCTTCCAAAATTTCTTTACAACAAAGGAAGCTGGATGAGCGGCCCACAGAGATAAGCTACTTTCCCAAGAGGAAAGTGAGAGTGCAAGGTGGAGGTCAACCACGGTGGCTGGCCTGCCTCCCTGAAGAGCACGTTTGAGAATACTTGGGCTAACCCACTTGTTGCTCCCGTTTCTGCTTCCGGAGCTGAATGCCCTCCTCTTCTCTTCTTCGCCTCATTTCCTCAGGGTTTAGGGCATTGTTCTTATAGCTCTTCATTCGATAATTGTCTTTCCCTGGGCTTGCCATGGTCTCTGGAAGAAGGGGAGATACAAACATGTTGGCAAAGGCTCTTAGGAGGACAGCATTTCCTTCTCACTGGCTTTTTTCCCTACCCACCCTCCCCTTCTCAGGGGGGCTCGCAGGTTCCCAAGGACGCCTAATAATCTTGGTAACTGCACCTGACATCTCTAGTACCACCCACACACAAACAACACAGTCTCCTTTAATCATAACAAACTTATTAAGTAAGTGCTATCATAGCAATTGATATATAAGCAGAGGAGTTAAAAGGTGTAGGCCCTGGAGGCAGATTGTGTGGGTTCAAATACCGGCTCTTCTACCTGTTAGCTGTGCAACTTTCAACATGTTGCTTTAACCTCTATGCCTCAGGAGCTCATCTTTAAAACAGGGATATAATAATTCCTATTTCATAGAGCTGTTAGAAGGATTATATAGCTTAATACATGAGCACGGAGTTGTTAGAAGGATTATATAGCTTAATACATGCAAAGTACTATTTAGAACAACAGGCATATGGTAAATGCTCACAAGCTATGATCACTTCTATGACAAGACAGAAAAGTTATATGACTTGCCCAATAAACTCAAATATATTTAACCTACCCAGGTGATATACGTTATTGTGTACCCAATTCAATGGAATACCATGTATTTTTTTTTAATGACTCATGTGGCCACCCATCTATATTTTAAAGAAATTTAAAATTTTATTCTGTAATATTTGCTACATACAAAAAGATGAAACATAATGTAAAGTTACCAAGCAAAATAATACAATGAGCGTCTGTCAACTCACCACTAAACCTAAGAACTAGATTATTAATATGCCTGAATCTAGTAGTAGGGTCTTCCCCTATCCCAGGCCCCTCCATCCCCACTCCAACTCCAGCCAAAAGAAAACGGCTATGATGAATTGTCATTATCTTTGCTTTTGTTTTTATTAATCACATATATGTTTACCCCTAAATATTGTATCATACTACGTTTAGTCTACTGAGAATTGTCGCCCCTCCACTGGGTTTTTGTTTTTTTCTTTTTGCAGTACGCGGGCCTCTCACTGCTGTGGCCTCTCCCGTTGCGGAGCACAGGCTCCGGACGCGCAGGCTCAGCGGCCATGGCTCACATGCCTAGCCGCTCCGTGGCATGTGGGGTCTTCCCAGACCAGGGCACGAACCCATGTCCCCTGCATCGGCAGGCAGATTCTCAACCACTGCGCCACCAGGGAAGCCCCCTCCACTGGGTTTTTAAGATTCACCCATGTTTTTGCATGGAGCTGTATTTCTTTAATTTTTCCTATGTCATATTATTTTACTGTATAAACACATCATAATTTATTTGCATTTCCCTGATGATTAGTGATGTTGAGCATCTTTTTCATCAACCTGTTGGCCATTTATACATCTGCTTTGTAAAAGTGTCTATTCAGATTCTTTGCCCGTTTTTAATTGCATTATTTGTGTTTTTTTGCTATCGAATTGTGTGAGTTCCTTATATATTTTGGATATTAATCCCTTATCAGATATATGGTTAGCAAATATTTTCTCCCATAGGCTGCCTTTTCACTTTGTCGACCATTTCTTTTGCTGTACAGAAGCTTTTAAGTTTTCTAGTTCAAGTTTTCTCGTTTATGTGATGCTACTTATTTATTTTTGCTTTTGTTGTTTGTGCTTTTGGTGTCATATCCAAAAAAATCATTGCCAAGACCAAGGTCTTTTTTCCTGTGTTTTCTTCTAGGAGTTTTAACAGTTTCAGGTTTTACAATTAAGTCTTTAATCTATTTTGAGTTGGCAAATAACATCTTAGTCTTCACTTCCCAGACCCTCTGAAATAGTCTGCAGATCATACTTTGAGAACCCCTGCTCTAAGGAATGAATTGCTGGGTTTAGGCAAGTAAATGTTAAACTTCACCAGATAGTACCACGTTGCCTTCCAATGTGATGCCAATTCACACTAGCTCAGCAATACGTACCAGGTTCCCACTGATGTATATCCTATCACTCAGAATTATCACTTTTGCCAATCTAATGAGTATAAGGTACTTCACTGGGATAATGATTTGCATTACTAATAGGGTTAGATTTTATGTTTATTAGCCATGTTTCCCTTTCTGTGAAAAATGTCTGTTTATGGTACTTCGAATATTTTTCTATTGAACTACTTGTCTTTTTCTTATTGATTTATAGTTCTTTAGATATTCTAGTTATTAACCATTTGTTAGTTATTTGTATTACAAATATCTTTTAGGAGTTTGTATCTTTTCATTTTTTGCAATTTTCACTTTATGGAGTTCTTTAACAAGTTCTTAATTATAATGTAGCTAAATTTTTCTTAAATACTTAGCTTTTTCTGTGTGTCTTGTTAATAAATCCTTTCACGCTCCCGAGGTCAGAAAGATACCCTCTCATGTCTTCTGAAAGTTTTAAATCTTGCCCTTTACATGCCAGTGTTTCATATACATTAAATTTGATTATTTGTGTATAAGCTTCAGGAAGTTAACACAAAGTCTGAACATTGATGACTTAGGTACACAGGTTAGGAAAAAAAAAAGAAAGGAGAGAGAAATCATACAGCAGAGAGAATCAACAAGGCAAAACTTGGAACTTTCAAAAGATGAAAAATAGTCAAGTCTCTGGTGAGATTTCTCAAGAACAAAAGAGGACACAAATAATGTTAGGTAACTAAAGAGACTGAAAAGCGAATATGAACAACTTTATGCTAGCTAACATGTTTGAAAAGACAAATTCCTAGAATAATATAACTTGCCAAAAGTGACTCAAACAGAATGTGACTAGCCTTATAACTATTAAATATACTGAATCAGCACTAAAGAATATTCCCACAAAGAAAATGCCAGGTTTAAATGGTTTTACAAATGAGGTTTTTAAATAAATAAATAAATAAACTTATTTATTTTTGGCTGCATTGGGTCTTCATTGCTGTGTGCGGGCTTTCTCTAGTTGCAGCGAGCGGGGGCTACTCTTCATTGCGGTGTGCGGGCTTCTCATTGCAGTGGCTTCTCTTGTTGCGCAGCACGGGCTCTAGGTGCGTGGGCTTTAGTAGTTGTGGCTCGCAGGCTCTAGAGCTCAGGCTCAGTAGTTATGGCACATGGGCTTAGGTGCTCCGTGGCATGTGGGATCTTCCCGGACCAGGAACCAGGGCTCAAACCTGTGTCCCCTGCACTGGCAGGCAGATTCTTTTTTAAAAAATTAATTGATTAATTAATTAATCAATTAATTTTTGGCAGTGTTGGGTCTTCGTTGCTGCACACAGGCTTTCCCTAGTTGTGGTGAATGGAGGCTATTCTTTGTTGCGGTGTGCGGGCTTCTCAATGCGGTGGCTTCTCCTGTTGCGGAGCACGGGCTCTAGGTGTGCAGGCTTAAGTAGTTGTAGCACGTGGGCTCAGTTACTCCGTGGCATGTGGGATCTTCCTGGACCAGGGATGGAACCCGTGTCCCCTGCATTGGCAGGCAGATTCTCAACCACTGTGCCGCCAGGAAGCCCCCCGGGCTCTC